ATTAATTATACCCTTGTATCTTAAAAATACAAGTTAGATATATATATATATTTTTTTTTCGTGCAACATCTGTTTCAGAATTACAGAAAATTCAAACTGATCGATCAAAAACGTGATTTTTGTATCTATTTTGGAGATGGCTCCATTGGGCAGTGACTTTGATCGGATATACATATTAGCCCTGTTACCTGTGAAGAATGTGCTACGGTTCAGAAGTTTATCAAAATCATGGGGTTCATTGCTACGTACGTGATCCATTTTTCATGGAATCCCATTTTCAGGACTCCATTAATATCAGAAGGAATTTCAATCTTGCTTTCGAACTCGTCGACTACAAGCAGTGGTTATTACACAAGAAACTCAGGTTGTAACAAGGTATGGACTCCCTCCACAATTTTCTACCACATGTTGATGTGTTTAATTTAGTAATTCTGATGGGGTTTATGATGATAACATTGTCGTGGCAAACATGCTGATCAATGATTACCATGTTAATTATCAGATTCCCGCAGCTGATAGAAATTTTTTGAATTGCGGAAATATCAAAACCTCATATGGATTTGGTTATCATGATCCAATCCATGACGATTATAAAGTGATGAGAATACTTCCAAATTCTTGATATTGTAGTCACGATAAGTATCAAGTACAAGTTTATTGCCTCAGGTACGATAGGTGAAGTGACAATATTGGAAATAACCTTGCACCTTAAATTGGATTGGACCCCTAAAAATGGGGTGTTTATTTGCGCTGCCCTTTATTGGTTGGCAAAACCATCCCTGCAGGATGGCGCCACCTACTGTTTTATCCTTACATTTGACCTTTCAACTGAGGATTTCCGCACAATGCCATTGCCTCAGGACATTCAAGAAAAGCAAAGAAGAGGTTTCGTTAGTTGCCTCATCATGGGTGCCCTTGGAGGGTACCTTTGTGGTGTATAGAGTACAATTTAAGAGTTTTGATGTTAGGATATGGGTCACGGTGGAGTCATCTTGGTCAAAGCTATTTCTATCTCCAATGTGTCATCATATGAGGCTCTGGAGCCTCTAGGCTTTTCAACTAGTGATGGTAAAGTTTTGTTTCAGAACGAATCTAATAAGCTTTGTTGTTATGAACCAGGAAAAAAGATTTGGAGAATATCAAAGTTGATGGCTTGCTTGCTGCACAACCTTTTTAAAGCTCCATGGTTTCAGCAAGTGCTTACAGGGCAATATAGCAAGGAGCGATCAACATCAAGTACTAAAAAAGGTGAGATTTTACCCCGACATATACTAATTCCAGTTTCCAGCAGCTAGGCTTGCAAAGTTCTTGCAGCATTCAGCGAATTGCCCAGTTGGCCAAGTACTCTCAATTTTCTAGCCAATTAAAGATTAGCGTTACCAAGTGTAGTTAGCATTGCACTTCGTGTTTATTGATTGGTATTGATGGTCAGTAGTCAAAATTAAAACTCTTTCAAAGTGGTTTAGAGTTGATTAAAAAAATAAACACAGTTTTCTCATTTTTTTTTCTTCTCCTTTGATGGTTACAAATTTCATTACAATCTATTGAGTATAGACAATATAAATCTATCAATTAATCAGCATCTAACACATCACATTACAATCAAATTAAATAGCAAATTCTAATAAACCAACCATAAAGTTGGACAACAACCTGCACAAAATAGCAATAGGCTTATAATTAACGTATCCCATGTACAATTAACCCATTTAGCCTAAACAAAATGGCCATTCCACAATCAAAACAAGAGTTATAAATAATAGTATTAACAAATTTCCGTAGTTGAATCCAAGACAGAAGGGAGGAAACACTAGAGAAAGTCTTATTTGTATTGGGTTCAGAACTAGCTGAAGAATATCATTAAGAGATAACAGTAGTCAAATTATTGATTATAATAACAAGATATTTTTTGGATTTGTTATAACAATGAGAGTGAGAAAAGGGGGAAAATTGAAGAGTACAGAAACAATAATGTTCTTGGGAAGGAGAAGAGGGAGACATATAGTCTCCATGGTAGATGATAACAGGGTGGCGGTTTGTGTGCTCACATGGATTCCTCTGGACTTGTACAGAGACACCTGAACTAATCACTTTTCTTCTTTCTCTTACTCTGGTTTTTCGTCCTCTTTCTCCTTTCTAGCTTCCAAGTGTCCGACCACATAACCATGTAATGAACTCATGGTCACACCCAAAATTAGGCACTTTTGTCTTTTTTGGACAATTGGAAATCACTTAACATTTTAAAATATGGTACCTAATTCAAAATACGGAATCACCCTCTTTTTCATTATTAACGGTAAAAGTCAATTATAGTCCCTCTGTTTTCAATTTTCATTCTTTATCCTCCTTTTACTTACAATTTGTTTAAAATCCTCCCTCTGTTCTTCCAAACCATTCCACTTGTCCTCCCTCTACTTTAATTTTCCATTATATTTACCTCCCTTTCCCTAACACCATTACCTCTCCCCCCCTAGTATTATTTATAACACCATTACCTCATCCCCTCTTTCCTAACATTGCTTATAAAACCATTAAATGCAATAGTTTATTTTATATATTTTTTTGTTGCATTGTTTTTCTCATAAAATTTTGTAGATTATTTGTTGATAATGCCACATGTTCCACTAATATAAATAAAAAAATTACCACTCCCATCAAGGCAAAAGATACCCATTTGCCCTTCAACTTTTTAAATTTAAGGCATTTTACCCCTTATGTTACAATATATGAATTTTTACCCTTCATGGTTTCTAATTTAAGGGAATGAGGCAAAATTTAACGCTAGAACGTCACGTGCTACACATGCACCATTACTTCTGTCATATATTTACATGTCAACGCCAACTTAGACCTTTTTTTACATATCAGCAAGTCTAGCTTGGACCTTTCCAACAATTTTTTTTTTTTTTTCGTTCCTCCCTTTCCTCTTTTCCTTTCTCTTTCTTCAACTTCTGCAAATCCAAACATCTCAACCAATTTCCAACATCTCAAACAATCTCAACCAATCTCTATCCTCCTGGCTTCTTTATCATCATCAAACAATAAAGCCCACAAAAAAAAAAAGAATTTTTTTTTAAATTTTTTGCCACTGGTTTGAAGGAACCTAGGCATGCCAGGTTCCATCCAATCACCAAAAAATCCAATTCAAGCAATCCCACTGAGAAATGCAAGCCCTTGTCAGAAAAAAGTTGTCGCCGTCGCCGGCCACCCCTTAGCCACCATTGACAAAACAATTCCCAATTCCTCCCAAAGCCAACCAAACCCCTTCCTCCTCACCCATCGTTAATAGGGCAAGATAGCCATGTCGGCTTGTCGTCCAAAGCAAAACAGATCGGTAAGCTAAGATACACCACTCCTTTTCCCCAACCCCCACTGTTTCCACCATAAGATCGAAATCTTCCATGGCCAGAAACTTGGTCAACACCTTCATCACCCCTGTATGTTCCCCTTCTCACTGCTAAGACTTGTTGAATCTACAAGAAACCCACAATCTGAGCAAAACCAAAATCCTCATCACACAAAAAACCCACCCCCATCAAAGAGAGACAAAATCCTTGGCCTTTAATCCACCCCCATCCTCCCTGCCTCCTACATCTACTGTTGCTCCTCCCCCCTCGCTCCCCTTCCCACAACCCCACCGCCGCTTCCACCTCTAATGGGATCGTTCTCCGGAGGATTATTTTTGTTGCCGAAGATGATGACCAGGAGCCCACGCCTGGGATCCAAAGAACCATGCACTGGGTTCCTTTGCACCCAACACGCTTGGGTTCGTTGGAACCTAGGCGCAGGTTCTTTCGAACCCAGGCACTGGGGTTCCAACGAACCCAGTGGCAAAAAATTAAAAAAGTTTCCTTTTTTTTTTTTTGTTTGTGAGTTTTGTTATTTGATGATGATGATGATGATAAAGCCATAAGGGTAGAGATTAGTTGAGATGTTTGG